CAGCCCTCCACCCTACCCAGCCCCCCAACCCATCCCAGCCCCCATCCCACCCCAGCCCCCATCCCACCCCAGCTGTGCACCACATGAACTTGAGGTGCAGGTTAACGGGTTAACCCAAGGGCGACTGGCGGGAAGGGGATGGGGCCATACATTTGGGGTTTTGTTTGGCTGATTTTTCATTGTTTTTCTTTAGCTTCCTAATGCAGCGCCCCTATCCCTGCCTCCCTCCCCCCTGCCTCTCTCCTCCCTGCTCCCCACCCCTGTCTCCTCCCCGTCTGCTGCCTCCTGGGCCTGCGGCTCCTCCCTGCCTTTGGCCAGAGGTCAGCGCTGTGGTGCGTGCCCACCGCGCAGGCGGTCAGCAGAGGCTCAGTGTGGCCCAGCCAGGCCGGGCCTTCTGTGGTCACCGCCGTCCTCAGGGGCTGCTGAGGCTCCGCAGGCCGCAGGCTGACCGTGCACACGGACAACGCACGCAGAGTCTTCGCCCGCATGGCACAGCCGGCTCAGCCCGCCGCACATGTGTGTGCGCGTGTGTGTGTGTACGTGGGCGCGTACGTGTGCGCGCGTGTGTGCATGTGCGTGTGTGCCTGTGTGTGTGCCTGTGTGTGTGTGCCTGTGTGTGTGTGTATGTGTGCGTGTGTGTGTGCCTCTTTGTGTGTGTGCCTGTGCGTGTGCCTGTGCGTGTGCGCCTGTGCGCGCGTGTATGCCTGTGTGTGTGCCTGTGTGTGTGTGTATGTGTGCGTGTGTGCCTGTGCGTGTGTTCAGAGGTGTCTGCCCGGCCCTGGCTCGGCGGCTCTGGGGGAGCCTGGGGCGCGGGGAGGGGCGGCCGGGTTGGTCCCAGGCTGGGCCTTCAGACTGCGCTGCTCAGGTTTGCGCCAAGGGGGCCGCTCAGGCTCCCGTTCCGGCTTCTCCTCCCCGCGCGGTGCCAGCCTGGCCGCCCTGCCGGGCACAGCGGCTCCTGGCAGCGGACCGGGCGGAGCGGAGGGGGTGAGGCGGAAGGGCCGGGGCGGTGGGGGGCCTGGCCCTCGGGGACACATCCCCGCTTCTGGCACCAGCACCTCCCGGCCTGGCGCTGAGCGAGGCCGCGGTGCACAGGCAGGAGAGGCGGCTTCCGTGTGGACGGAGGCCCGAACCCCGCCATCAGCCTCAGCCGCAGCGGGGGGCGCGGTAGTGAAGGCGGGGCCGGAGCGGGTGGGGGTCCCCCGGGGGTCTCTCCAGGACCTGCCCACCAGGCGCTGGGCTCAGAGCTGGACAGGAGCCGGGGCGCCACCAGGACGCAGGAAGGCAGTGCCGGGCCGGGCTCCAGCGCCCCGTTATTGGGGGGGGGGGGGTCGGGGGGCCCGTGTGCCCGGCGCCCCAGTATACGGGGGAGAGGGAGGAACGGGGCGGGGGGCCGTGTGCCCAGCTCCCCGTTATTCCGGGGGGCGGGGGCCCCGAGTGCCCAGCGACCCACTTGCTGCTGCACCAGGGAGCCCGGACCCAGCCGCCCGGGCCCGGGCCCGCGGGGAGGCCGCCAGGAGCGGGCCCGGGCGGGGAGGGGGCCAGGGAGGGCCCGGGGCGTCCTGAGGGTGTCCCCGTGGGGCCGGGGAGAAAGCCGCCTCCGCCTCCCGCCGGCCTCCGGGCTCTGCGCGCCTTCCAGGCCCGTCTCCCCGCTTCCCGCGAGCAGCGCCCGCCGGCCTCCCCTCCCGCCCGCCCGGCTGCGCGCGTCCCGCCTGCCCCCGCCCCCAGGGGCCCTCGCTGCCGCCGCCTGGGGGCCCAGAGGGGACCCTCCCCGCACAGCCAGGCCCCGCCCCCTCTCGGCGGGTTCGGTGCGGAGTCTCCGGGCTGCGGGGCGCGCCCTCCGGCTGTTGAGGACCATCCGCTCCCCGCTCCGCGGAGTAAAGCTGGTTAAGGGCCGCTGCGGGGCCCTGCGAGGCTGGGGGAGGAGGAGGAGGAGGAGGAGGAGAGGAGGAGAGGAGGAGGAGGAGGAGGAAGAGAGAAGGAGGAGGAGGAAGAGAGGAGGAGGAGGAGGAGAGAAGGAGAGGAGGAGGAGGAGGAGGAAGAGAGGAGGAGGAAGAGAGGAGGAGGAGGAGGAGGAAGAGAGGAGGAGGAAGAGAGGAGGAGGAAGAGAGGAGGAGGAGGAGGAGGAGGAGAGGAGGAGGAGGAAGAGAGAAGGAGGAGAGGAGGAGGAGGAGAGGAGGAAGAGAGGAGAAGGAGGAGGAGGAAGAGAGGAGGAGGAAGAGAGGAGGAGAGGAGGAGGAGGAGAGGAGGAAGAGAGGAGAAGGAGGAGGAGGAAGAGAGGAGGAGGAAGAGAGGAGGAGGAGGAGGAGGAGAGGAGGAGGAGGAAGAGAGAAGGAGGAGAGGAGGAGGAGGAGGGGGAAGAGAGGAGAAGGAGGAGGAGGAGAAGGAGAAGGAGGAGGAGGAGAGGAGGAGGAAAAAGGAGGAGAGGAGGAGGAGGAGGAAAAAGGAGGAGAGGAGGAGGAGGAGGAAGAGAGAAGGAGGAGAGGAGGAGGAGGAGGAGAAGAGGAGGAGAGGAGGAGGGGAGAAAGAGGAGAAGGAGTGGGGGGGCGGACTTTGTGAGCTTGGAGGCCAGTCGCTGTCTGTCTGTCTGTCTGCTCGGTGTGTGAGCCTCCGTGCGGAGTAAGAGTTACAGACATCCGACCCCCGGTTGTGCGGCCCGGAGCGGCCGGGCGCGGGGCCCGAACGAGCGCTGGACCCGCGGCGCGTGGAGCGGAGGGGCCGCGGGGACGGGGCCGCGGGGACGGGGCCCGCAAGCCGCCCCCGCCCCGCAGAGGATGCGCAGACTTTCCCGCGGGCAGACTCCCGCGGGCAGACCCCCGTTCCGCTGTGAAGCGGGAGGTGCCCCTGAGACCGGCTCCATCTCTCCGGCCAAAGCGCTCCGGCCCGGAACCGCCGGGCGGCCAAGCCGGTGGGAGCGGCCAGAGCCGGACCTCGCCTGCCCCGGGCGGGTGTGCGGAGCTCCGCCGGGCCTGCGCCTCCTCCTGCGGGCGGTCCGGCCGCCCGTGTCCGTGTCCGGCCGCCCCGGGTCCGTGTCCGGCCGCCCGTGTCTGTGTCCGGCCGCCCCGGGTCCGTGTCCGTGTCCGGCCGCCCCGGGTCCGTGTCCGTGTCCGGGCAGCCCGGGTCCGTGTCCGTGTCCCGCCGCCCCGGGTCCGTGTCCGGCCGCCCCGGGTCCGGCCGCGGGAGGACCGCGGGGCTGATGGCGAAGGGCGCGCTCAGCTCCGGTTCGGGCTCTGCGGGGCGCTGGTCCCGGTCCGCACGGTCCTCGCGGGACCGGAGAGTCGTCGTTTCTTCGCAAACTCCCTCCTCTACCTCCTCCTCTTCCTCCTCCTCCTCCTCCCCTGCCCGCCCTGCCCCAGCGGAGGGCGCTCCGGCCGCCTCCCGGCGAGCTTGGTGCCCAGAAAGGGGCGCTTGGTGCCCGGGCGCCGCTGGCAGGGGATCCCCATGTCCCCGCGCTGCACCCCTTGGGGCACAGACAGCGGAGGAGAGGGGGACCCCATGGGCGGGGGTCAGACAGCGAGGAGAGGGAGAGAGAGAGAGAGAGAGAGAGAGAGAGAGAGAGAGAGAGAGAGAGAGAGAGAGAGAGAGAGAAGGGAGAGAGAGAGAGGAGGGAGAGAGGAGATGGAAGACTCTCCGGCCCGGGCGCGCCTCTCCCCGCCTCGGGCGTCGTCAGCTCGCGGAGCTCCAGCCGCCCCCGCCCCCGCCCCCGCCCCGTGTTTTTAAACAAAGTTCCCTTCGCCGCCGCCGGGATCGCGGTCAGTCCCGCCGCCCCGCCGCTCACAGCCCGGCCCGCCCGGCCCCGCCCCCAGCCCGCCGGGACCTCCCATTGGCCGCCCGCGGGCGGGGGCGGGCCCGGGCGCCGCAGGCTCATTGAGCGGAATTAGCCCGGATGACGTCACCCCGGCCCCCAGCCCCTCCCGCCGCGGCCCGCACTGTCCCCGCCCCGCCCGCCGCCGCCGCCGCCGCTATAAAGCCGCCCGGGGAGGCCGGTGCGCATCCCAGACCCGCGCCTCCGCCCGATCCCCTGTCCGCGGCGGCGCCGGGAGGAGCGCCTCCTGCACCCACAGTGAGTGTCCCCTCCGCAGCCGGCCGCCCCGGCCGTGCCCCTCCGCCGGCTGCGCCCCACGGAGCTCCGCACCGGGTCCTCGAGCCGCCCCTGCCCAGTTCTTCGCTCCGACCACCTGCACCCACGCAGCATCCTGCGCCCGCAAACGGGAACCGGGCGGCCAGGCTGCTTCTGCCCGAGTCCGGGTCACCGGCGAGTCCGCGCGGCCCGGGCGCAGCGCAGCACCCAGGCACCCGGGCTCTGGGCGCGGGCGCTGGGTGCGGGCACAGGGTGCGGGCTCTGGGCGCGGGCGCTGGGTGCGGGCACAGGGTGCGGCCTCTGGGCGCGGGCGCTGGGTGCGGGCACAGGGTGTGGGCTCTGGGCGCGGGCGCTGGGTGCGGGCACAGGGTGCAGGCTCTGGGCGCGGGCTTTGGGCACAGGCGCTGGGTGCGGGCTTTGGGCGCGGGCGCCGGGTTCGGGCGCCGGGTTTGGTCGCTGGGCGCGGGCGCTGGGTGCATGTGTACGTGTGTGGGCTCCGCGGTGCCGGTGCCGATGGAGACGGGGTGGATGCGTGTGGGGCCAGATGCAGATCCATTTAGACTTCGCCCTCCTTCCCGGAGGGAACCCTCGTTGCCACTTGTTGTGCCAACCCGACCCTGGGGACCTCCCCGCGCCTGGGCAGGTGTGAGCCGCCCGCACGGCGCCCGCGGCTCCCGGGGCCCGGAACCACCTGTGGCCGCGCGGCGGGAAACTGCGGAGGGAAGCGGGGATACGTGGGCGCCCCCGCCCCCCGCCCCGCGCGCCCCCAGGAGGGCCCAGGGCGGCGAGGGGACACAGGCTCCCGCCCTCCGCCCCGTTCCCCGCGCGGCTCCCTCCCGCCGCGCTCACCCCGCTCTCTCCTCCTAGGCGGCGGCGCGCGCCGGGACCGGAGGAAGGACTGCGAGGCCGCCGTCCCGCGGCCATGGACTCGGACGCCAGCCTGGCGTCCAGCCGCCCGTCCTCGCCGGAGCCGGACGAGCTGTTCCTGGCGGCCCGCGGCAGGGCCGGCGGCGGCGGCTTCTGCGGGGCCACCGTGTCCTCGTCCACGCCCAGCGACGGCGCGCCCGAGCCGGGCCCGGAGCGCGGCGGGGCGGGCGCGGCGGGCGCGCTCGCGGGGGACCGGCCGGGCGGCGGCGGCTGCAGGGCGGCGGGCGCGGCGGCGGCGGCCGCGGCCACCAGGAAGGACAAGAAGCAGCTGACGGAGCCCGAGCTGCAGCAGCTGCGCCTCAAGATCAACAGCCGCGAGCGCAAGCGCATGCACGACCTCAACATCGCCATGGACGGGCTGCGCGAGGTGATGCCGTACGCGCACGGCCCGTCGGTGCGCAAGCTCTCCAAGATCGCCACGCTGCTGCTGGCGCGCAACTACATCCTCATGCTCAGCAGCTCGCTGGAGGAGATGAAGCGGCTGGTGAGCGAGCTCTACGGCGGCCACCACGCCGCCTTCCACGCCGCGCCCTGCGGCGGCCTGGCCCACGCCGCGCCCCTGCCCGCCGCTGCCGCCGGGCACCCCGCGGCCGCGCACCCCGCGGCGCACCACCCGCTCCTGCCGCCCGCCGCCGCCGCGGTGTCCGCCGCCGCGCTGCCCTCGGTGGGCGCCCTCCGGCCCCCGCACGGCCTGCTTAAGGCCCCGGCGGCGGCGGGGGCCCCGCTGGGCGGCGGCGGCGGGGGTGGCGGCGCGGGCTTCCCGCACTGGGGCGGCGTGCCCTGCCCCTGCAGCATGTGCCAGGCGCCCCCGCACCCCCATGTGGCGGCCCTGGGCGCGGGCGGCCTGCCCCGCCTCGCCTCCGACGCCAAGTAGCGGCGCCGGCTCCTCCGACCAGCGGGGCGCGGGGCGCGGGGAAGCGGGGCCGCGGGGAAGCGGGGCCGGCGGCGCTGGGCCTGGGGCTGGGCTGGGGTCAGGGGTGCGAGGCCGGCCCCCTGGGGCGCCCTGAACTTGGGGAGTGAGCGGGGCGCGCGCCCAGGGACTGGCCGGCCTCTCTGGCTCCGGCGCGGCCTGCGGACACGCTTTGTAAGGGGGCCTCGCTGTGGGCACAGCCCCCCAGTCCCCCTTCTCCCCAGGGGCTCTCAGACCGGCTCTCCGGGCTGCACTTTGTTACCGGGGGCGGGGAGGGAGGTTGGGGACCCCCTCTCCTCCCCCAGTGTCTGGGCGGGTGGGACGCGGGCAGGGAGCGGGTGGACGCTGGCGGGCAGTACCAGAAGCCCCGGGTTCGGATGGGTCAGGCCCCGCCCTGCGGGAACCCCGTCCTCCCGGCGGCTCCGGCGCCCGCGCCCCGTTTCCAGCAGCAGTGACGCTCCGGGCGGGCGGCGCGGACGGGCGCGGGGGCTTTTCCGTTAAGAGTCCGCCGCCGGCCCCGCTCCGACCTCTGGGCGCCCTGCGGGCCGGCCTCACCCGCTGGGGGACCTGGTACCGCAGGGGGACTCCGGCCGTGGCTGTGACCGTAGTGTGGGGCTCGGGTTCCGGCGGCCCACTTTCCCTCCCGATGTGTAAATACCGCAGTGACCCGTGTGCGTGCTGTGGACCGTGTGCTCCCGTGGCTCCCGCCCGCGCCTGGCCGAGCCTCCTGCGTCCGTGTCTTTTGTCACTTTTAACACAAATGTCACCTCCGTGTTTCCTGCGTCCCCCGAACGGTGTCTGTCAGTAACACCCCCCCCCCCAGAGTGTATCATCTGTTTTATTTTTGTAAAAAGAAAAAAAAGTGCTAAATAATATTTATTACCTGTTTTGTTGCAAAAAAAAAAAAAGAAATAAATGATCAAGTGTTGAGATTTTACATAAAGCGGGAGTAGGGTGTTTCCAGCGGCGGGGGCGGGGCAGGGGGAGGGGGTTCTCTCCGGGGGTGATGGCGGCCATGAGGGTGATGGGGCGTCCCTGGGGACTGAGGAGGGCTGTGTGCCTGTTCTGCTGCTCTAGCCTCTCTCCCTCTCCCTCTCCCCCTCTCTCTCTCCCTCTCCCTCTCCCTCTCTCTCTCTCCCTCCCTCTCTCTCTCTCTCACACACACACCCTTTCCCGGGGCTCACTCCCCTCCCTCCATGTTGTTTTGTTTTCTGAAGTCTGATTCCTGTCTGGTTCCCTGGTTCCAGCCTTTCCAGGCACCTGAGGGCTGAGTGCTGAAAGTGAGATGTTCGCTCAGCGCCTGAGACTGGGCCTTGGGGGCAGGCCGGGCCCCGGGGGTGCGGTGGGGGCTCCAGGGCTCAGGCTGGGGGGGGCAGGATTATTGTTGCCTCCGCTCGGCTTTGGGCAGCCCCAGCCTGGTCTTCCCAGGCCCAGCCCCGTGGCAGCTGTGGGCCACCAGCGGGCGTGAGGCAGGACCACTCGCCTCCCTCTCTCCATCCCTCCCTCCATCCCTCCCTCCCTCCCTCCCTCTCTCCTTTCCCGCGATGTGTGCGACCCTCCCCGCGCCCAGCGGCCTCCAACTGTGGCCTGTCCACCTGTCGGGGGCTGGGCCGCGGTGAGCTCTGCTCTCAGCCCCTCTTCCCGCCCCTCCGTCTCCTGCGGCCGCCGCCCTGCTGCGATCCCCAGCCTGGGCAGCGCAGGGGGTCCGGCCTCGGCAGGGGTCCGGCCGGGGCCGTGCACAGGGTCCGGCTGGGCTGGGGCGGTGCACAGGGGTCCGGCCGGGGCGCCCCGGGTCGGCTGAGTTCAGGGCAGCTTCGCGGAGGGCATCGCCCTCGGACCCGCTGGGCCAGGGGCCTCTTCGGGAGCCGCCGGGGAGGTGCCCTAGGACACGGGACAGAGGAGGTGCTGGAACCCCATTCCTAAAGCTGACCCTGAGCCAGGCCCGCCACTCCCCTGCAGGAGGGGCGCCGCCCGCTCCTCGGGGAACCGCCGCCCGCCCGCCCGCCCGCCGAGGGTTGGGCGCCCAGGGCCGGGGCTGCGGCTCCTCAGCCTCCCGCCCGCCCACCGCACCCAGCGCCAGGGAGGAGGGCTGAGGGCGCCCAAGGCCCGGGCTGCGGCTCCTCAGCCTCCTGCCTGCCCACCCAGCGCCACCGGGGAGCAGGGAACGGGGAACGGAGAGCGGGGAGGAGGGCTGAGGGGAGGAGGGCTGAGGGGAGGAGGGCTGAGGGCGCCGGGGGTCGGAGGAGAGGAGAGCTGGCAGTTTTACTCCAGAATCCCCTCTGAGGGACGAAGAGTGCAGTGGGCTTCTGGCCCAGTGGCTCTGGCTGTGGGTGAGTAGGGGCGCCTTTGTTAGAAGCAAAAAATAAAATAAAATAAAAAATAAGAAGAACCCCCCACTCCCGCAGCAAGCACCCCTTGGGTGGCCAGCCGCCAGCTGGGATGGACCCCACCTCCAGGCCGGGCTCCCAGCCACTCCCGCCCCCCCCCCCGCCCCAAGCACCCCCTAACGGGCGCCCAGCAGGGACCTGACCACAGAGAGCAGCGGCCCGGACTCCGAAAGGCAAGCTCTGGCCACACAGGCGGCTGGGCCCCTGCTGGCGGCTCCAGGGCGGCCAGGGCTGGGCCGGGGCTGGGGCGGGTGGGTGTGCTGCCAGGGAAGTCCCGGCGGCTACTTGGGGGCAGGAGGGTCCTTCATGGGGGTGGTGACCCTCCCGGAGAAGGGGGCAAAGAGGAGGGAGAGGAACAGCCCAGCGGTCTGAGGGTTCCTCCTGCGCGTGCCTTCCCCCCACCCCCTCCCCACCCCCACCCCTGTTTTGGGGGCCCAGCACCAGTCCCCATGTCTGTGAGGTGGTCCCCAGCTCCCTCCCCCGCAGCTCGGCTGACCCGGTCTGCACCCAGGTTCTGCCCTCACTGGCCCAGTCACAGGAGCCCTGGTTTGGGGCGCCTGCGGCCTGGGGCGCTGCAGGGGGACGGGGCAGGGCGGGCGGAGGAGCCGGTGCTGAGGCGGGACTGGGCTGGCCGTTCATTCGTTCCTCATGGTAACGTCACGGTAACGGTAAGGCTGTGAGGGCGGCTCTTGTCATCCCACTGACGGGAGGAGTGACCTGCTGGGGGCACAGCTGTAAGTGGGGACAGTAAGGTTGTAACCCAGGAGCCATGAGGTCCCCCACCCGCACCCAGCAGGTCCCCCACACCTCGCAGGCCCAGGCTCTGGCCCCACCCCCTCACCCTGCAGGCCCTGAGCTCCTCCTGCTCCCCCTTGGCATCTGGATCACTTCGTCCCCTCACCCTGGGTCAGGGTCAGGGTCAGGGTCAGGGTCAGGGTCAGGGTCAGGGCTGGGGTTAGGGCTAGGGTTAGGGTTAGGGTCAGGGTTAGGTAATGGTTAGGGTTAGGTAATGGTTAGGGTTAGGTAATGGTTAGGGTTAGGTAATGGTTAGGGTTAGGGTTAGGGTTAGGTTAGGGTTAGGGTTAGGTTAGGGTTAGGGTTAGGGTTAGGGTTAGGTTAGGTTAGGGTTACGGTTAGGATTAGGGTAGGGTTAGGGTCATGGTCATGGTTAGGTTTAGGTAATGGTTAGGGTTAGTGTTAGGGTTAGGGTTAGGGTTAGGTTAGGGTTAGGATTAGGATTAGGTTATGGTTAGGGTTAGGGTTATCTTAGGGTTAGGGTTAGGGTTAGGGTTAGGGTTAGGTTAGGGCTAGGGTTAGGTTAGGGTTAGGGTTAGGGTTGGGTTAGGTTAGGGTTAGGTTAGAGTTAGGATTAGGGTTAGGGTTATGGTTAGGTTAGGGTTACGGTTAGGGTTAACGTTAGGGTTAGGGTTAGGGTTATGTTAGGGTTAGGGTTAGGTTAGGGTTAGGGTTAGGTTAGGGTTAGGGTTAGGTTAGGGTTAGGGTTAGGTTAGGGTAATGGGTAGTTTAGTATTAGGGTTAGGGTTAGGGTTAGGGTTAGGGTTAGGGTTATGTTAGTTTTAGGGTTAGGGTTAGGGTTAGGGTTAGGGTTACGGTTAGGGTTAGGGTTACGTTAGTGTTAGGGTTAGGGTTATGGCAGGGTTAGGGTTAGGGTTAGGGTTAGGGTTAGGGTTAGGGTTAGGGTTAGGGTTACGTTAGTGTTAGGGTTAGGGTTATGGCTGACAGGCTTTGGTGATGAGCAGCTACTGTGGAACCAGGCCATGGAGGAGGAGGGCGCAGGGTAGGAACAGGTGAGCCTGTGGGTGGTTCCTGGGTTGTGCTGCCCACACTGGGTGCAGTAATTGGAAATGGACCTCACGTGTGTGTGCCTCATGGTTCCCCCAGACACCTGTGTTCACACAGACATGTTGTGTGTGGGGAGGGGGGCCAGGCCGCTTGGGGTGTGCTTCGGGCCCAGGTTGTTGCAGGCCTGGGAGTCCCCTGGCCGTGGGAGGGTCTAGGGGTCCCTGGGCATCAGACATGGCCCCCCTCCCCTGAAGTGACGACATTTGCGTGGGGTAAAAATGTCTGGGGCCCCGCATCTGCCAGGCGGGCAAACGGGGTCCCCGCACCTGGAAGCGGAGGCCACCTTCTGACAGCCTCAGGGCGCTCAGCGGGGGCTGGGAGCCAGCAGGGTCAGGCCGCAGCCTCCCACACCCCTCACCTCACGGCCCCCCAGTACACACCCCTGCCCCTGCCCGCTCTCCGGGCCAAGGCCTCCCTCTGGGTGCCAGGCTCGCCCGTCCCTCTCCCGTCACCCCAGTCTGAACTCTCCCAGCTGTCCAGGCCTGCCACTCAGGGAGATGGGGAGACACGGGTATGGCAGCTCAGCCAGGCCAGGCGGGAGGAACTCGGTGCCCCAGGCACTGGCAGACCACAGGGCTGGGCCGGGGAGCGGGGAGCCCCACACGCCTACACTCGCTCGCTCGCTCCTCTGCCTCTCCCCTTTCCAGAACCCCGCCCCCCACAGGCCAGGCCCAGGCCCTGCAGAGCTGCTGGTCATCATGGGCAGTCGGCAGG